TGTAAAAAAGCAACATCCAGTCACAAGAACGACCAGTTCAACAAACCAGTCCTACCAAAAAATCAGTTTGTTGAACTGGTCGATTCTTGTGACATGGATGTTGGCTTTTTCACATATTTTTGTTCTAACAATTAATTAAAGATTATATGTATATATATATATATATATATATATATATACAGTAATACAATATTGTATTATATTGTATTATTGAAAACGGTTGATTTTTTGATTTTTTGGTAGAACTGGTTTGTTGAACTGGTCGATCTTGTGACTGGATGTCACAAAACAAAACAAAAAAACAAAACAAAAGACACCTAAACATTCATCTATCATCAACCAATCAAGACAAAAGACATCTAAACATTCATCTATCATCAACCAATCAGAACAAAAGACACCTAAACATTCATCCATCATCAACCAATCAGAACAATAGACACCTAAACATTCATCCATCATCAACTTATCAGAACAAAAGGCACCTAAACATCATCACCCAATCAGAACATTAGACATCTAAACATTCATCCATCATCAATCAATCAGAACAAAGGATACTTAAACATTCATCCATCATCAACCAATCAGAACAAAATACACCTTAACATTCATCCATCATCAACCAATCAAAACAAAAGACACCTTAACATTCATCCATCATCAACCAATCAGAACAAAAGACACCTAAACATTTATCTATCATCAACCAATCAGAACAAAAGACACCTAAACATTCATCCATCATCAACCAATCAGAACAATAGACACCTAAACATTCATCCATCATCAACTTATCAGAACAAAAGGCACCTAAACATCATCACCCAATCAGAACATTAGACATCTAAACATTCATCCATCATCAATCAATCAGAACAAAGGATACTTAAACATTCATCCATCATCAACCAATCAGAACAAAATACACCTTAACATTCATCCATCATCAACCAATCAAAACAAAAGACACCTTAACATTCATCCATCATCAACCAATCAGAACAAAAGACACCTAAACATTTATCTATCATCAACCAATCAGAACAAAAGACACCTAAACATTCATCCATCATCAACCAATAAAAACCCATCATCAGCCAATCAAAAATAATCTAAAGGTTCATCTTTCATCAACAAATCGAAAAAAGAAACTAATACCGTTAAACATTTATTTATCTATCACCAAGACACCAAAATACAAAATACATTATGTCTGAACTTTTAGCCATCATTAATCAATAAAAACAAGTTATTTAAAAAAAAACACCTAAACATTCATCCACCATTAGCCAATCTAAATGGAAGACATCTAAACATTCATCTACCATCAACCAATCAAAATAAGAGACAGTTAAACATTCATTTATCATCAACCAATCAAACAAGAGACGGTTTAACAATCATCTATCATCAACCAACTAAAACAGACATTTAAATTTTCTTCATCATACACCAATATAAAAACAATTAGGCATTTTGTTAACCATTTATTAACTATCAACCAATCAAAACAATAGAGAGCTGAACATGTATCCACCATCTACCAATCAAAGCAAGTGACAGACAACCAATCAGACCTGGATCGACCTCCACGACCCATGGACACTCGGATATTGCAGCTGATAACATGTAATTTTTTCCCGTTATTCCATCATTTGTATGCTTGCCGCTGACTTCGATGAATGTTCCTGCAGAAAATGTGGTGGGGATGTCATTGGGGTTGTTGTTGTCATCACTGATGATATCGTTCTTGTTGTTAATGTTGTTGTTGTGGATGTTGTTGTTGTTGATGTTGTGCGCGAGGACCAAATAACCGATAGTGCTGCTCAGATGGGTTTCACTCTTGTTGTGACAGTCGGTAACGTAAGAAGCTGATTTGCATTGAACATACATTTAATTTAATAAAATAATTTCACAAATTTGATAATCAATACAACTTATTTAACACAGTTTTAAATATTAACATGTACATTTTCAGTAAATTAACTTGTGCTCTAAATCAACCAAAACAAAAATACCAAAAGTAATCTTATAAATGGCTTGCCTTTAACACATTCGTATGTAACTTCCAAGTAAGATTTAAAATCCTTCGGACATGGCTGGGCAATGGAGTCAATACTAGCCACAAGTATCGAACAATTGTTCCGCCCCGAACAAAACTCATCCAGGTATGCCGTCACCTCGGAGAAACATCCTAGAGCCTGCGCATACTCTGCTGTGATGCACCGACCCGCACTCATCCTGCCGTACTGAGCCCTCTCTATCATCACTATCTCCGTCATGCTCCCACACCTCGCTGAGAAATGATCCGATGTGCAATACTCCTCTGTCGAAATCAATGAGTTGTGTTGTCGTGTTTAGTTGTATTTGTTGTTGTTGTGTTTAGTTGTATTTGTTGTTGTTGTGTTCAGTTGTTGTGCTCAGTTGTTGTGTTCAGTTGTTGTGTTCAGTTGTTGTGTTCAGTTGTTTTGTTCAGTTGTAAATCTGGTATGTGTTGTTTAAATATTGCTGTGCAGCTTGTACAACATAACAAGTCATTTTTTGGGTAATGTTTTTATTATTTTAATATAATATAAAGTTACACACACATGTACATATCCATGTAAAAAAAATAGAAAATAATTTTTAATAAATTTGCTAATTGATGAACATTTGCGGGTTAAACTGATTTTTGCCTATTCTCAGTGATGCCGATTTGGAAATCTATGGAATTGTTTGGTACGGATGGTTTATTGTATGCTCTTCAACCATTTACAAACACAAACAGATAATTTATCTGACTCCTTTAAACAAAACAAAAATTAAATTAAATTAAATGAAGAAAACTGACTAATCGTAGTCAAGTTAAAAACTAACTAATCGTAGTCAAGTTAATTAATTTAATTGATATGACCACCATGTAATGAAATTTCACTAATGTCCTTCATTTATACGTACAAACATGTTCTGCACGAACACACACACGCACTAATAATCATATGAAATTTTTCCAATTATGCTATGTTTGTCTTATTTAGTATAATGTCTGTAAAACTATGCTAAATTGAAGTTTTGTTCAATAACGATGTCTTAGAAAAATTCTTTAAAGAAATTATTTAAGACAAATTTGAAATAAGACTAACCTCAAATTATTTCAAATGAGCAAGTCTTAAAAATATTTGAATTAACTGCATCTGTTTCGAAGTTAAAAAATGGCTAACAATAATTGATGCCTCAGTTTTAGCAGCTTCAACGTAATCTTATGGAGACATTAACTTAATTAGAATGAGGATCGTTAGACACAGGACACTTCTTCACGACAACCAGACCTAACCAAAACAACAACACAACCAACAGCAAAACAAGCAACAACAAAACAAACGACCACAAACAAAACATACAACAACCACAAAACAAACAACAACAAATAACAACAAAAAAAACAGCAATAACGACAAACGACGACAACAACAAAACAAATAACAACAACGACATAACAAACAACCCCAACAACAACACAAACAACAACAACAACAAAAATATCAGATGACAACAAACAACAACAAATAATTACCAACAACCACATCTACAACAGCAACAACAAAAGAAATAGCAACAGCAACCACAACAACAACAGCATAACAAGCAAAAGATAACAAGCGAGAAAGTTGTTGTGAGGTCCAGGGACCTTCCATCCATCAACAACATTTCATTTCGGGAGTCATTATGTTGTCATCTTCATACTCGTTAACAACAAGTTGCCTCATCTTAACTTCGATACAAAAAGCGCGGAAAAATTTGATGACTCTTTAAATTTAGATTTTAATTCTGAAATTTCTACATAAAATCTTTCAGTGTCAATAAAAATAAGTAGCGGTTTTAAACCCGTAAAATAACAAACAGCATCTTCGAACGTTTTTTTACTTCTAAAATTGTGTTGTGATTTTACATCCTGGTATTTTTAAGGTAATTCATTTCATTCCATTTCAACAAAGTTGCGACTTACCAGCAAATTCAACTTTAATTTCATAATTTGACACGAGAATTTTCTATTTATATTCCAAGAGATCAAATTAGTTTATGTTTATTCAAATTAGAGTTTATAAAAATAAAAGTTCATAATTCTTCAATCGGTACGTTTGTGTGCCAACAACATTGCCGAGAGACAAACATGACGAGGCATGGCATGAGCGGAGCGAACGCCACCTCCAGATAGAAAGCGGTTCCTTGCGCTGTAATTGCTAAGCATTAACAATTCGCAGATTATGTTTTAATCTCGTGTTGACGATGTGCCAGGCAGGCGATTGATGAAGATCCTGTCTATGGTGAAGAACACTTGTAATTGAGACATTACGCGGACAGCCTTCTTTACTTATACTACTATGCTAGGTCCTCTCATAAACTCCATCGCCGTCATTAAATGACCGATTCACTGTAAAGTGTTTGCATTAACAGCAAAGTTTGCAACAATAGGGACAATATTGAATGTAATAATGCTTTCAACTGTTTTTATCGATGCAATGCTATTAAAAGTAATGTTGTGTGCACGTATTTGCTGGGCCGGTCATTACAATTCTTAGTAGAAAATTCCCTTGAATGGGTCGTTTCAGATTTCCTCATCGCTTTAAATTGTTCGCCAGCTATACATGCGGGCATTTAAATAATGTGTCGTTTGTGCGCAAGTTTCAAGCCATTAATTATGAGACAATTTAATAATAAAAGTTAAACTACAAAGTAAATTTTAGGTTTAATTATCAAGTGTGAGTCTTACGTTTTAAAATAGTTTGTCAACTAATTTCCAATATTTTACATGGTTTACAGAAAAATATGAAAGTTACACTTTGAAAAAATTTTAATTTGTGAGGGTTAAACAAGAAATTGATACAGCAGAGGCTATATCGTATTAAAATGAAAGGCGAACAAACTCGTGCGTATGCGCAAATGCATAAATTTCCTATCTTGCAATATTAACAAAACGACATAAGTGTGGAGATTTGCAAGCCGGCTGGAGAGGTACACCGATGCACGTTTCTGCATTGTACATGCTCCATTCGTACGGCTATTGTACTATATATATATATATATATATATATATATATATATATATACATAATAAATACAGCATTGTATGAATTCTACCGAATTGATGGCATTAGTCAATTTAAAGTTTGTCTTCAATTTTCCTTACTAGAATTTTTTGGAAATTGTTCAATTTATTGAAAATGGAAGAATTATTCAAGTTCATTATGATAATTTAATAAAACTGTTGTTATCCAAATTTATCATGCAGATAGTCCTTATTTCAATTTTTCACAAATCATCTTCAGTGCATGTTTGTTTAATATAGTTTCTTTAAGCAAAACAAAGTTAGTTCTTTAGCAAAGTGAGTTACTTAGTTGGTGTTGTATTCTACTAACTTGATGTCGTATTCTAATAAATTGGTGTCGTATCCAACTAAGTAACTCACTTTGCTGAAGAACTAAATTTGCTTTGTTTAAAGAAACTATATAAAATAAACCTGCACAGAAGATGACCTGTGAAAAATCAAAATAAGGCCTATCTGCATGATGAATTTGGATAACGACATTTTTTATTAAATTTTATTAAATTTTCATGATGAACTTGGATAATATTTCTATTTTCAACAAATTGGACAATTTTCAGAAAATTCTAGTAAAGAAAATTGAAGACGAACTTTAAATTGATTAATGTCAACTATTCGGTAGAATTCATACAATACTGCATAAAATATGGTCTCCTTCCAATAAATAACATATATAATGATTCTTCTTCTTCTTTCTCATGCCTTATCCTTTCAGGACATTGGTGACCATCGACCTCCACATATCCGATCTTTAACACTTTCTAGTAATTGAACTGGGGTGATATTCAACAAATAACACAAGGACTTCAAGAATGTTATTCGTTGTTGACTGCGATCTCTTTTACCTGCAATCTTTCTAGTAGTTGTTAGATTTTCCATTCTTTCCTTTTGCATGATGTGACCAAAAACTTTAACTGCCCCCGTTGGATTATTTGTAGTTATATCCTCTTTTCATAACCGGACTGTTTTAATACATCCTCATTTGAAGTATAAGATGTCCAACTAAGAAAAAAAAAAGTCAAATGTCAAAACTAATTTTCATAATTCTTCTCTAAAACCACACCTCAGCAGCGCAGATCTTTATCTCTGTTTATTTAGAAGTTGTCTAGGACTCAGAGCCGTAAGTTAACACAGGAAATATGTAACACCCTAACAGTTTTAACTTTGTTGATATTCTTATTTTACTATTTGTGAGGATGTTTTTCATTTTAAATATGCATCATTTTCCATAGCTATCCTTTGTTTGATATCCATATCACATTTACAACCTGAGGTAATCAGACTTCCGAAATAATTAAAGCTGTTAACTTGTTTCACTTTTTTACCATTAATAATTATTGGAGCGGATCGGGGTGGTTTTGCTTTTACAGTTTACCGTGCGCTCTGTTTTGTTGATGCTAATTTGCAAGCCTTTCCTTTTACTTCCAGAAATCAGTTTGAAATCAATTGTTTGCAGTTTTTCCATTGAATCTGCAATAAAAGTTGCATCATCAACATATCTTACATTGTTTATATTCACGCCTCCAATGGATATTCCCGGTAGGTTTTCTTTTTTTTCGTGATGATCTCACTATAGAGACCGTACAGGTCTGGAGAGAATAAACAGACTTGTCTAACACTGACTTCTTTATTTCGACAAAACTGGTCATTTTGTTTATATTGTTTATTGATACATGACTTTAATAAGATGTCAGCCTAATTTTGACAAGTCTGCATTACAATAAAAATACTAATATATGATAGTAATGTTTAATTAATTTGTCTATACATTAATAAGTTGTATAATCTTTATATTGTTTATAAAAAATGCGTGTCAATGTTAAAGTCGTGCAAAACAGAGCTGCTAAACTAGTCTTTCATGGTTTGAAGTATGATTACGTCTCTGATTACGAGGATTACTGGTCTGATTCAACAAATTTCATTGACTAAAAAACTGAAAAATGCATTATTTTTAAGATGTGCTCAATGGTTTTTAAATGTATAATTGGATTTGCCCCATGTTATCTGATTGAGAAATGCAGTTCTAAAAATTTACAGTCTAAAGGCAATGCCTGAGATCGAACACGAGCGGTGTATTGAATGTTCTATTTGTTAGAATGAAAACAGGCACGCGGGATTTTTCAGTTGTTGGACAAAAGTTGTGAAATGAACTTCCCTGCCATCTATGCTGTCCTGGTTTGTCTCTAGCTTTTTTTCAAAGAGAATTAAAAATTAAATTAATAATTTTGATTTTTTTACTTATTTTTCATTATTTCGTATTCTGTTTTTGAAAATTCTGAATCAAATTCAATGATGAGAGCGTTTGTAATAACATTTTCTTTTATCGACGCTGTACATGTATAAACACTCTTTGTAATGTTAATAGCAGTAATATAGTATATATAAGTTTTTTTTTACACTTTTCTGGCATAACAAACTAACGAACAAAGAGTACCTACTATGAACCATAAACAAAACTAAACCTAAAACAAAACTTTAGTTCTTCATAATATAATGCAAAATAAACAGCAATAAAACACCTTCTAATTTAACTAAAACAAATGTAATCGTTTAAGGTCAGAAAAAAATTGAAAAATGTTTACTTAATAAAGATTGTTTCAATTACATATTTGTATAAATTTTATAGTTTTATAAAATTCATTGAAATAATAAAGAAATTTTTTTGGACTCTTGTTGACTAGCAAAATTTCTTTCTAAATTTTTCGTTTCTTTGTGTAAAAGCAGTTAAAAACATAGTCAGTAAGAAACAACATCACCGTCAACAACAAACGAAGATAATCGTACTACAATCACAGTCAGCAAGTAGCATCAAAGCCAACAGTGAAGAAGCCGACAAAGACGGAGCTACAAGAACCACAATAGCCACTCCCCACGCGCCGGCACGCACATGTGCGCATTCGACACTTGAATTTCAATCTGATGAGCAATAAATTTAATTTCCTCGCGATTAAAACCTAATTAGATGATAGTAAAATAAGTCCACACAGATAACAACTTGAAATATTTTTCAACTTCCACGCACATTTGGGTGGTGGCCTCCAGAGCTAATTACATTTGTTCGCTCACTAAATTTTTCATTTTTTTTTGTTTTTATAAATTTGATTATTTGTTAATACAATTTGTATGAATGAAAAAAAAATGTTTAAACTTTTTTCATGTTATCAAATATTCTCTTAAACATGCCATATTAATAATTTAAATGAATCGTTGTAATAATCATAAATTTCAGCTACTTTAAATAGCACACATCACATCAACCAGTTAGCTATTCAAATTTCACAGCAGTTTTCATGGGGATATAAGTGAGTGATACCAACAAGTTTCAATAGAAATATTCAATCATTTATTTTGAGTTTTATTTTTATGTTTTGACCAAAGAAAATTCATCAACTTGACGTCAACCATGGTCTCCTAAATAATATCCTACTGGTCGAGAAACTAAATGAAATTTTGTGTGTGCTCGACCCAAACTGAGGCCATGCTTGTTTGATAAATAAATGCTACTCGCTATATAAGTTGCTGTTGTTTACTTTTGAACGTTTTGATTTCGTTTATCAACGCTTGCATTGTGTTGTTGATTTTGCTTTTTATTTCGCTGGTTTATTTAAAAATATTAAAGTTATTAAAAATATTTTATTTTAAATAATTAAATTCAAAATGGTTAATAAATGTTGTGTTTATGGCTGTAAATCTGGGTATACGTCAGAAAATCGTTCGGAGTCTGAGATTACCATTACGGATAAATAGAAAATCACGTTTCATAAATTTCCAATTGATGATGAAGAATTAGCAAGAAAGTGGTTGAAAAATATCGCGAGAAAAGATTTTCATCCTTCGCAACATACCAAGGTTTGTTCGAAGCATTTTACTCCAGATGATTTCATCACATCATCTCATCTCGCCGAAACAACAAGGATACGTTTTCGATAAGTCTTAAACCTGATTCGGTTCCAACTATTTTTTCTAATCATTCAAAACATATGTTGTGTGAAAAAACTACATCAAGATCAGGTAATGCGCTTCGAAGCAGTAGGAATAATAAAGAAATGGAAAGACTCGGAGAGTTGGAAATAAATTTTATGGAAGAAGATTCAATCATAGGTCTGAATCTTGAAGATATTAAAATGAAATTAGAGAAAGAAATAACTTTTTCTACTGAATTTATAATTAAATTCATAGACAACAACATGATATTACTAATAGTAAAGGTTGATGAAGATCATCATTAATCTATTAGTTGTTCAATATTAGTGACACCTGAGTTTCATTTGTTTGTAGAAGTGTGTGGAGAAGCTATCCTGCAAAAAATTATAATGATTTACTGCAAGGAAAGTGAACTAAATTTTCTCAATTGTTAAATATTGCTGCAAGATTCAAAGCCATCAGTGAATGTGACAGACCGATATCGTGGGACATTATTCTCACAAATGGAATCAGTAAAATTGAAAAATGTTTAGACCTTATTGATGAAAGCTCTTTGGATAATGATGAAATAATTAAAATGATATCATTTTTAAAAGAAGAATTACAATTAGTTTTAATTAAAAAGCACAAGCGATATTCATATTTGATGAAACAGGCCTTTATTCTCATGTCAACTAGTACTGCAGGTTATCAGTACCTGTATTCATCAAAATTGCTGTGCTTGCCATCATCAAAAACAATGATATTTTACTACACAAATTTCTCTCTGTTTCAAACCAGCAACAATTGTTTGGTGATATTGTAAATAGATTTAATGACAATAATGACTTGGAGAATGAATTTCCAGAATTTTGCACCACAGGGCATGATCTCAAACAATTAATTTCAAATGTATTTTTTAACATTGTTGCAAATAATTTAATTAAATCAATTACAGAAAATGCAAATGAAAAAAAAACTATTAATTATAAAGAAAGAAAACTTTGTAAATTACAGAACATTTGAATTTATTTTCATAATTATATTTTTTTGCAATGAATACTGTTTTTATTTTTTAATAAATGTTTAAAATATTTATCGTTTTAACATTTTAATCGTTTGTTCAAAGTATTAAAATTTTTAAGTGTTGCAGAATTAAAGACGTTTCGTCGTTTACTTTATGTGTGTAGTATAGAATGCATGGCCTCAGTTTGGGCATGTGTAAATTTCAGTTTCTCGTCTAGTATCTATTATTTAGGAGTCTATGCGTCAACTATTCGGTATGAAATTTTAATTACGAACACAAAGGAGAATATAATTTTATGGACCTGACTGCAAAACGTTTGCTGAGCGAACTAACGCGGTTAACTTCAAATAAACTGAAGCATTTAATTTGGACAACAGGGTTTCAAAACAATTCATCAAACTGATTTAAAATCTGTCAAGTGTTTCCACAACATAAAACTTTTTCATAAAAAATGTTGAAAACGTTTAACGTTCAAGTGAACTTTTAGTCAACAAGGGCGGATCTAGAGGGTGGATGCAGTGGCGTAGCGATGGGGGCAGCTGGCCGAGGTGCCATTTCAAATGGGGCGCATTTTGAAGTTTTTCTATAAAAAATAGCATCTAATCAAAGATTATTAAAGCATATTTAAGAAAAATTAGATGAGATGTAAAAGTAATTTTCTGGTTAAAATTATCTTTTTAGCTAAAATATATCTTAGTTTGTGAACACCTGATTTGTATATAAATAAAAATTAGTGGTCTTTGGCATTAGGGCACCTTAATGAATATAAGTTTTTGTTTAAAAACAAATTTTTTTCAAAACGCGCCTTATCTTATTAGTTTTTGTATCGTTTTCGATCACCAATTTGAATATTCTAACACAAAAAAGGCGCGTTTTCAAGTTTACTGATTTTATTTAAAAAAAATAAAATCAAAAGGTTACATTATAACAATTGACAAATTTCTAATTATATAAAATATAAGCA